AGGCGCTAGAGGGCGCACCACTGAGTCTTACTCTAAGAAGTAAGGACCGAGTAACTGCCCCTCTGGAGGTCCCAAGGCCGTAGGCCACCTGGGAGCTGTGCCCCAGAAGCTCCTTTGTCAAAGTGCGGAAGTAACGTATTGACCTTGTCTGCTACTGAAGAGTGTGAGGCATTTCTATATATCTACTCAGTTACATTTGACAAAAAATGTCAAGTACCTATTATGAATCAGATGCTGCATTAAGTGTTGGGTACACAAAGCTCAGCTCACAGTAGAGCATAAGAGGTGGACAAAAGAACGAAGAATCACAATAAAGTATATATATGACATATATATATGGTAGTGGTACCTTGAGGTGCGATAGAACTACGGAGAAGTGAAGCTGAAGGGATAGGGAGTGTTTGGAAGGCTTCCTGGAAGGTAGACAACTGGAGTGAACCCTTAAAAGAAATTAACATTAGCCATGCAGAGAGGAGAGTGCTCTCAAAAAGAGAGTAGAGGCTGCAAGATTGAAGAGCAGTGATTAGAAGTGATGCTGAAGAAGTAAGCAAGGACAAGCCAGTCATGACATCTGTTCATCTTGAAAACAGCGGGAAATCACCGAAGGATTTTAAGCAGGATTTTCATATCTCTCGTCCACCTGGCTGTAAATTCCATGAGGCCTGCAGTAAGTAGCATCTTTTTAAATTCTTCGTATTGTTTTCCCAAGGCCTAACTCAGTGCCTTATTCGTACATGCTTGATAAATATTTGAAGAATGAATAAAATAATCAGATATACAGAAACACCATTTGTCAATAATATAAAAAAGTTTGCAAGAGTGAAATGATGCAAGAATTGAGGCAGTAGCCATTGAGATAGAGAGGCAGGTATAGATTAAAGAGATACTGTTTTAAGGGGATATCCCTTTGATGAGCAGGAATTGTCAGTGGTAACTCCAAAGATTTGACCTGGGTTAGAATGCGTATTACTAATTTGTGCCCAATAGAGGGCATTCAGAGAGAGGAACAGTTAGGGAGAGAAAAAGATTACTTTATTATGCTGAGCTTGCCTTTCTTGGAGAACTTCCAGCTCTACCACTCATGTTTTTCTGGCCACTGTTTTTTGACCTCCAAGGAATTTCTAATCTCTGATTCCTCTTTTTTCTTTATCTGTTTGATAGCTTGCCTCTGTCTCCACCCAACTGTGATTTAGTAAATCTGCAATGTCCAGCTCATGATGAGCAGGTGTAGTTGCATAATACTTGAGTTGCATGGCCAGGCTCTTAGTGGCATGCCAGGAGCTGTTTTTCAAATGACTTGCTGTCAAAGGAATGGCCTTGCTCCAGAACCCTGAGGTTCTCCACTGTGACTCTTCTGTTAGAGCTTGTCTAAGCCACACAGCATCCTTATCCACCATGGATATCTTGAGCACCACTGTTTCTGCTGGGACATAGGGCTGAAGAGCAAGGCCACTTGCATTTCAGCTTGGACTTGCTACAGAGCACACTTTTGCTCAGGGACCCACTCAGACTGGCAGCTGTCTCTGTCACCGAGTAAAAGTGTTGCAGCTGTATTCCAAGTGTGGCATCTATTGCCTCCAAAAGCCAAAGAGGCCCACCAGGTGCTCTGCCTCTTTCAATTAATAGAAAATGCAAGATGCAATAACTTATTCTTCACCTTAGAGAGGCTACCACAGCATGCCCCCAGACTTTTGGACCCATACAAACTTTATTAATGTAGGAGGTCCCTAATCTTCATAGGGTTTAACTCCCCACCCCCTCTGGCATGCATGTAACTACCATCATATTGAAGGAAGTACTTCTCAAACTTGAATGTGTATACAAACATCCAGGGAATCTGAAAGGAAGATTTTGATTCAATAAGTCTGAGATGGGGCCCAAGATTCTGCATTATTGGCCCCAGTTTTTAACTCTCCCATTGTCCACATCCTTTGCCATAGAACTTTGAAGCTTTTTCCACTGAGGGGCAAAGTAGTGTCGATACTCATTATTCTGCATTTTGAATTTGCCTACTTGCTAACACTTATTTGCTAATAAATGAATAACCCACAAAATAATACTCATGTCACTTTCACAGACATAGGCAGAGGAGTGGCAGAAAACTTGAGTTCTCAGCTGAGGTCAAATAGGCAGTGCCCCACCTTCTTGTTTCTGGGCTCATACTGGAAACAAGTGTCCTTTTTGCAGTCTATTTAGTACCACATTTTTTGCATTTTTGTGCTTTTTGTTTGGTAATTTCGCTGTATATGTGTATGGCCCAAGCATGTGCTGATGTGCTATCTTGTATTCCTAAGTGCAAGAAGGCTGTGATGTGCCTTACACAGAAAATTCATGTTAGGTAAGCTTCCTTCAGGCATGAGTTATGGTGCTCTTGGCTGTGAGTTCAGTGTAAATGAATCAATAATATATGTCGAGTGAGGTGTCTTTAAACAGAAACACATAAAACAGGTTGTGTATTGATCTGTTGATGAAATGTGACCAGAGGCTCAAAGGACTCTAACCTGTATATCTCCTGGGAGCAATGATTTGGTATATAATTTAGTGTTCATGGTGTCATCATAGACCATACCAATCACAAATAATGAGAATCAACTGTATATTTCCCCACTCCTTGACACTAAGTTCAGCCATGTGACCTGTTTTGATCAATAAAACGGAGCAGAAATGATGGTGTGCCAGTTCCAAGGCTGAGCCTTAAACAAGCCTGGGTTTCTGCTTGCTATCTTGGGCTTCTCCCATAGCCTTGAGAAGAATGTGCTTGGGCTAGCCTGCTGGTCTCAGGAACAGAGTGAAGATACATGTAGCACAGCAGAATCACCTCAACTGAGCCCAGTCTAGACTGGCCAACCCACTGCTAACACCCAGACGTGTAAGCTAAATAAATGTTTGCTTGTAGTGTGACATTGGGAATTTATGGGCTTTTTTTTTTTTTTTTACTTAGCAAAAGCTAATTGCTATACCTGCCAAAAAATTGAATAATCAAAATAGAAGGAGTAACACACCTGCCCAATTTTTTTTTTTTTTTTTTAAACTTCTAGTGTGGGCCGGGACTACGAGGCTCCGTGGAGCCGAGTCACCGAATCCGGGGCGGCGCGGGCCCGGGCCGGGTCAGGGTCATCGGGCTGCATTCACCTGAGTCAGTCGCGGGCCGCAGGGCCACTGTAGCTGCCCTGGACGCGCAGCCAGCGACACGCTGTGCGGTCTGCGCGGGGAACAGAGCCGCCGCCTGGGGACACCTCTGCCTGGGCCTCCGCCGTGAGGAGACCCGAAAATTCTAATAACTAAGTACAAACTTGTAGTTTTATCTCCAGAAAAATTTTAAATGTACATGTTAATGCAACTGTAATTTGTTAATGAACTATTTAAAATGAAATGTTATTTTAGCAATGAAACCATAATATATATTCACTGAATGAGATGTTACTTGATTCAAACTTTAATGGAAGCTTTGGCATTCCTCATAGATTTTTTGATCCTCACCATAGTCTATAAAGTAGGCAGGTAAGATAGACTTGTCACCATATTACAAACAAGGTGACCGTGGCTTGGAGAGTTTGTTGCCCAAGTTTGCACCAGTGGCAGAATGGGAGTTCCGCCTAGACTTCCGGCACCCAGATCTAGGTTTCTTTTCAAAGCAGGAGGGAGGCAAGAGCAGCATGATGTTGACAAGCCCGGAATAGTACTCACAAAGCTGAGGACTGAGAAGGCTAATTTATGTAAGTAAGCTGTAAATTACTCTGGGAACAAATCTGCCTCTATTATGGGTCAACAGTTAAACATTTCTTATATATAGGACAATGATTTTAAAATAAATATGTCCTGAAATGAATAGAAGTTTAAGAGAGAGTTGGGAGCGTTTAACGTCGTCTGTTATATATTCTATAAACTTTGTAAATGCAGTTTAACAAGGCAAAAAAAAAAAAGTGTTATAACAGCAGGTGCCAGAATTCCTTTTAAGAACAACCATCTATTCAGAAAAATTTCACACCAGTGATGACCCACTTAGGTTGGAGACTGAGACCTGAGGACATCAGCATCAGCAGGGGGACAAGCAAAAGCAGATCATTGCTAAACCTCTCTTCTTGAGAGAAGAATGTGAGGAGGGTTGGGAGAGGGAAGGAAAGAGGAAGAAAGTGAGGGGAAGAGAATGAAGGGATAAATAAAAGGAGGTAGAAGCGAGGAGCATGAAGAGAAAGAAATCCTAGAACTTAGTGGGAGGTCAAGGTATCTCATTTTAGTTTCACTGATTACTAATGAGTTTGAACATTTTATAAATTGTTATTGGCTATCAGTCTTTTCATCCTCCACCCATTTAAAAAATTTTTTCTCAAAACTCCTATAGCATCAGCTATTCCAGTGCTTCCCAACCTTTTTTTTATCACATGATACAGATGAAAAATAGAACCCATGCACTTTTATTAACTTTAACAATGACAGATTAATTTTTACGATTGTCAAAGAATATCAGGTTTGTCACCATTTCCTACGTGACTAAATTCGAGATTTCATTTTCTCAGCAACTGATGAAAATTCAACAGCTCCTATTTAAAAGCAGCAGGAAATTTTTGACAAATTGATTTTTGTTTGATGTCTTAACGAAAATACCCTTATCTCAAAACCTACTGTCTCCTCCTTATTAATTTCTTTCTTATATTCTGAGAGAGTTTTTCCACCTTAAGCTGAAGTATGCAACCTTTTTGATTTAACTACTCCAGGCTATCCACCTTTTTTAGAAACTGTAAATTATGTGGTTGCTTTGTAAGAAAATATGGAATTTTGGCCATTTCTCTGATAATCTATATTTGCCTTACTGATACAAGTTTAAAACCTACTATTCTCTTTCCATGCCTATTTCCATACCTGGTTAACTTTTTATTATGCCTAATCGCAGCATAATCTTTTAAAAGACATTTTAAATGGCAGTTAAACATAGTAATACACAATCAAGAATACCCATAACTCAATAGAAGTATTGAACAGCTATGACCAAGTTCATGCATGCTCCTGTGAAAACAACTAAGGCACAACTGCTGCCTGACTACCTATCACTGTAAGAAGCTATCTGATGCAATGTGTAGTATGATTTCTGAGATGTTAAATGTGAAAAAATATGAAGCAAACAACTGATGAAATGTGGTATTTGTGTAATACTTGACTTAATCAAATAAGGTTGTCATCATAGTTGTAACCAGTCCTGCCCAGCTTCCCCTAGGGCTGTGGGGATCAATTCCTCTATATGTTCATTCGTGGTGTGCCACCATGACTACACACTACCTGATATTATTTTTCGGTACATTCAGCTATCTTCTTACTGCACGTATGTTTGGTCACCTGCCTTGAGCCTGCATTGCATTGCCAAACCACCATCCCAAAACCCTTTGGGCAGTATTTGAGAACATACCCAAATCTTACATAATTTGGCCTCATCTGTCCATATGATGGCTTAATAAGTCTCAGCTATTTGATCAGAAATTGTGATTACTATAATCTAGCTATGTATATATAAGCCATATACTTAACTTACGTAGGTCACTCTGTAAGGTCCTGTTAAGCCAAAGGTAGAAAACTATGTCATGTAGTTTTCGGGTAATTGTGTGAATTGGACAGATGGAATGAAAAAAGAATGTGGGGGCAGTGATAAAACTAGAACATGTAAAACCTGTAAATGCACTCTCGTTCAGTTTCAGATATAATTGTTGTGTTTTCTTTGTTTTGTTTTACATATGTGAGTAGGCCAGCTTTGGCCCAAAGACTAAGAATTTGCATACTCTGCTTTAAGTTGTAAAACCTCTCTGATTCTAGGATCAGTGATCCTACTTTATTCCCAGTTCTGCATCTTTACTTATGCAGCCTATCAATTACCACCATTATCCACCCCCCCACCACAACACACACACACAAGCACACACACAAACACTCATATTCCTGAATAGCCTAGAGTAAAAATAGAACATTCAATTAGCACAAGGTAGCTGAGAAGGATTTCAGCAGGTACATTGGGAGTTCTGAATCCCTCTGGAGTTCTCTGAAATTAGATTGTAGACTCTAAGTTAAAACCAGAGTTTGAAGTTTTACCTAGTAATTAGAAGATGTGGCTTAACGTTCCTGAACTTTGGTTTTCTCGTCTTTAAAATGGAGATAATGTACAACCTAGATAACTTATAGGCTTCTTTTGAATATCATGATGATGGTAATAGGAGCTGGTATCCATTGTACTTACTATGTTCAGGAACTTTGCTATGTACTTTCATGTATTCTCATTTAACCTTTAATTAAAACTTTGTGAAACTCACATATATAAAACAAAACAAAGAAAACAACAATTATATCTGAAACTGAATGAGAGTGCGTTTACAGGTTTTACATGGTCCAGTTTATCGCTGCCCCCACATTCTTTTTTCATTCCACCTGGCCTCATTCCCACAGATTAGAAGCTGATGTTCAGAAAGGCTACCTTTACTGAAGTCACATAGCTGAGTGGTAGAAGATGGATTTAGATTCAGGTCCATGTGACACTAAACCTTCCAGCACATCATGTTATCCTCTGCGATCATAGTTTCCTAATTTGCTGGAACAAATTAACACAAACTTTGTTGCTTAAAACAACACAAATTCACTACCTTATAGTCTGAAATTCAGAAGTCTGAAATGGGTCTCATTGGGCTAAAATCAAGGCTATGCTCCTTCTGGAATCTGTGTGGGAAAATCCATTTTCTTTCCTTTTCCAGCTTCTACCTGCCTTCTTTGGTGCTTGCCCCTTCTATCTTCAAAGCCAGCAATGGCTGGCTGAGTTTTTTTCACATCAGATCACTGACACTTTCTGACTCTAACTCCTCTGTTGCCATCTTCCACATCTAAAGACCTTTGTGATTACAATGGGCCCACAGGAGTAATCCAGGAATATGTCTTTAAGGTCCACTGATTAGCAAACTTAATTCCATCTGCAAACGTAAGTCTCCCTTGCAATGTAACATAGCATATTCATGGATTCTGGGGATTTGGAAGCTGACATCTTTTGAGGGGTCATTATTATGCTTACCATCACCACTGATTATGGTATGGTATGGTATGGTATGGTATGGTATGGTATGGTATGGTATGGTATGGTATGGTATGGTATGGTATGGTATGGTATGGTATGGTATGGTATGGTATGGTATGGTATGGTATGGTATGGTATGGTATGGTATGGTATGGTATGGTATGGTATAGTGGATGCCCTATTCATTAGACTTCCACAGGAAAGAAATAATTTGATTCATTCAAAGACTATGTACCCAAGCTAATCATTATTTTTAATCAGGTCCAATAACCTTGAGTCAGTGGCTATTTTGGGCGTAGATTCTGAGTACTACATGCCAGGCACAGTTCTAGGGGCTTTACATGCATTAACTAATGTATTTCTCCAGCAATCATATGAAGAACTAAGGAATTTGAATTTGGCCCCTGTGTTAGATAATAGTCTTTTATCAATTTTATCAATTTCCTGAGTGCGATAAATGTATTGTAATTTTTTTAGACGAATGCCCCTGTTCATAGGAAATACATGCTCAAGTACTTAGGGATAATGTGACACCATAACTATGTATGTAGCTGACGTTAAAACAGATGTGTAAAAATGTTAAGTTGGTGAATCCAGATGAAGGGTATACATATGTTCATTTAACTATTTTTGCAACTTCTCCGAAAAAAATTAAAGTTTTTAAAAATGAAGAGTTGGTAGGGAGAAAATCTCTGGATACTCTGTAGAATGGACTTGAGAATGGACTTGAGTAGGAGGGAAGCGGGCAGACCAGTTGGGAAGGTATTGCTGTAGTCAGGTTGGCGGCTGGAGTGGCAGCGGGGATAAAGAAAAGTATCCTCCCACTCCCAGTGACGAAAGCTGTTCTATAATTCCCACAGGCATCCTCCTCGCAGGCTTGGAAGGCGGTGTGGTTTTCCAGTCGCGTTCAAATTTGGTTGGGATCAATTACTCCCGCAGTCACAAGTTTGCGCTCTCGCAGAGGGCGCTGTGGGCCCCAAATAGGAAGAGTCCACGTCTACAGCGTAAGCAGGGGGAGACGGCATCTTAAAGTTAATATGTCCTTCCCGTCTCAGGGTATATCCTAAATATTTGGACCCTTTTACCTACAGTAATAAAGTAGTTGCTTTGTAGCTCCATCCAACTGTATTTAGTTGAAACCGAGGATGTTACACAAAAATGCGTGTTCCTTGCTCCCCTACATCTGCTGCGTGCGCCAAGCCGCGGGGGCCGGAAAGAGGGAAACGGAAGTGTTGATGGCCCTGGGAGTGTCCACCCGAGTCGGTGGTGCGATCCCTGGACACTTGCCATGGAGGGGTCTGGCGAGCTGCAGCTGGATGCTAAGACCGAGGTAAGCCCTGGCCTAGAAGGAGCTGGGGCTAGCGGGCTTCTGGAGCAAGAAAGATCATTCCCTAAACTGTTTCACTGTTCCGTTTCAGGTCACCAACCAGGTGAGTGAATGGCAGCCCCGCCCCATTCTGAGCCGGCCTGCGTTGGGTAAGGGGCGGGCGGCTGGACCTGGACCGCCTTTCCGCCTGGGGAAGCCGGGGGACGATGCCACCTTAAGCCTTCCTCAGCTCTCCCAAGTCCAGGTCCTGTGCCCGTGAACCTGTGACTTTCGTCCCGCCATCCTGCATTATTTCTTCCACTTTGCACCTGAAATGGAGCCGCTGCCATTGTAGTTAACCTCCCTCACGCACTGCAGCAGATAGAGACCAAATATTATTCTTGATTAGGCGCCGTTTTTTGGAGACTAGGTACACAGTATTTTAGAATGATTACAGAGGGAAGACATTATTAAAATTTACAAAGGTAGCACCTCAAACATTTTCTTAGTCTTTAAAAACCAGTTATTTTGAAGGTGGAGAGTATACTTCCTTAACTTTCCAATGTATATGTATTTATGCTAAGAATAAGGATTTGAATTTTTAAGCATATCTTAATCCTGTTTTTTTGTTCTAAGTGTTCTTATCCTATTTGGGGTAAAAAACTATTTTTAGACAAATAATTTATAACACACTTCCCAGAAGAAGAGTACTAAAACTATAGTATTCTAGGTCAGGAATCATCCAGGTCCATACAAAATACTATAACAAAGGGCTGAGATAAGAAATAATGAGAATACAGGGGCTGAGAGATGCCCATTTACTGCTCTCTGTGATCTGTCTCCAACTGATTTTGCTGTTGTTTTTGAGTATTACTGGGAGGTGGGGGAACTCAGAGAGACAGTAATCAACCCTCTAATCTGGCTTTCCTCAGAGTTATTTAGTGCACTTTGATTCAATCTTTCATAAATCGTTTTATCCCATTCACTTACACTAAATTATATGTTTAAGACATTCTGAAACAATTATACTAGATTATAGGGTTTTAAAAATTGAACCGGGGTGGGGGTGGGGGTGTTGTTGAAAACAACACAAATTTATCTTACAGTTATGGCGGTCAGAAGTCAAACTTAGCCTTATAGGATAAAATCAAGGTGTCGTCAGGGTTGTGTTCCTTCCGGAGGCTCTAGGGGAGAATCTGTTTCCTTTTCTTCCAGCTTCTAGAGGCTGCTCACATTCTTTGTCTTGTGGGTTCTACTTCCATCTTCTAGGCACAGCATGCCAACTTCTCTTGCTATTATCACTTTCTGCTGTCATCGTTACCTTCTCTGACTGACCCTCTTGCTTCCCTCTAATGAAGACCCTGTGATTACATTGGGCCTACCTAGATAATCCAGGATAATCTCACCTCAAGATCCTTAGTTTGGTCATACTTACAAGTCTGTTTTGTTGCGTAAGGTAACATTGACAAGTTTTGGGAATTGGAATGTGGACAGCTTTGGGGGGCAGTTATTCACAAGTTATATGATTGTTTACATAGAAAAAGCCAAGATACTTTACAAACATTAGAATTAGTCTGAGAGTTTCAACAAGGTGATTTAATTTTTTTCCTATATTCAGAGTTGAGAAATATTTTTAAAAGATGCCATTTACAACGTTAAGAAATTATGAAGTGCCTTGCCATGAATCTAACAAACGATGTTTAAAACCTTTACGAAGAAAGTTGTAAAAAAAATGATAGACTTCCAGTTTCCATTCCAGCTTCTAAGGAGCTTGGAAGTCATCATTTCATCCTAAAAAGTTAAAATTTGAACAAACTGAAGTCAGCAACTCTTCTTGAATTGTCAGAGAGGTAAATCACAGGGCATACTGCTGCCCCCCAAACTGGAGAGACAGGCGAATTCAGAAAATTACAGGAACAGAAACCTCTAGGAAAACCAAAGCTAGGCTCTCACTCAGTTGGGTCTCCTTACTTTCCCTATTAAACTTAACGCCCATTCTAGCAGTCTACCTGAGCCTGTTGCAATCTAGTTAAACCACATCTCTCCCCTTCTAGAAGCCTTTTAAGAGATTCCTGTCAACACTAGAAAAAAAATCTTTTTACTTTGGCTTACAGGCCTTTCAAGATGGACTGACTTTGGCCTTCAGGCCCAGAAATGGATTCCTCATTTCTTACTTTTCCCTTAACTCATGCAACTCCAGCCACACGGGCCTTATTGGTATTCCCTGTGTACACTCCAGGCATGCTTCTCGCTTTGTTCAGAGTACTCTTCTCTAGATATCCATGTGGCTTTTTTCTCCACTTTATTCAAGTCTCTTTCTACTCAAAAGCCAATTCTTCAAAGAGGTCTTCCCACGCTCAATCTAAACAGCCTTCCTGGTCACACTGTCCCTTTACCCGGTATTGCTGTTCCACTTTTTATGGCACTTACTGCAACTTCATTATGTGTTTATTTGTTTATTGTCTGTCTTCCTTACTAAAATGTAGGAACTTTGTTTTATTCTTTTTTATATCCCCAGTGCCTAGAACATGGTATTATTTAGTAAATACTTATTGAATAATGGCACATAGAGACATAGTAACATCCAAAGCCATGTGGGTATAAGGTAGGAGAGCTGAGATTCCAGCTCGGATCTGTCTGACTTTAGAATCTATACTTGTTAAATTTAACAAGCCATGGTGCTATATTACCCAGCACTAGAGGTTTAAGATTATTACTTCACATTTTTATAATCATTGTTTTGAAGTAATTCATGATTCGCTTATATAGATGTCTAATTAGAACTCTTTATAGATGAATGAATGTTATTCGTGCCACATTTTATTGCTTTCTTCCTTGCCAGTTTTATGGTATAAATCAAAAGAAAGATGTTCTATTGACGCAATATCTTGTGCCATTTTTCTTCTTCCCACGTATAAGAAATAGTGACTTAAATTTTTGTGTAGTTTATGTGATGGTTCATGAAGATATCACTATTTTTGTTCTATATATTCTTTTGGCTGTACCAGCTACCCTCAGGGCATTTACAGTCTGGTGAATGTGAGGGAGGGAGACAATCCACAAATGACTTCTACAAACAGAATGTTCTAAGTGCTAAGGTATAAAAAAATGACAGAACATTCAGAGAAAGATTGAGTAAACCAGGAAAGACTTCACAGAGCAGGTAGCATTTGAAAGGAGTTTTCAATTTTAAGTAGATGTTTGAGAGTTGTATGCCAAGAGGAATGAAAAAATAAGCAAAGGTGTAAAGGTTGAAAGATAATTTCGAGAAGGGATGCAGTCCAGTTTGAGTACAAGTGGGCAAGCCCTTGGGGACTGTGCTGTGGTGTGACTCCAGTGCTAGGTGAGAGGCTGGCAACTAGGTCTTGAGGCTGTAGACTTAATAGGTTTTCACCTGTGATGTCAGATTTGGTTAATTTATAAGCAATGTTTATAGTCTATACTCTGGATTGGAGCCCAAAAAGACTATAGGCAAGAAACTAATTAGGAAGCTGCAGTAAAATTTAAGGCAAGATTTTTAAAATAGGCTTTGAGTAGGTTTGTAGCAGTGAGATCGGGAAGACGGGAGTACATGTCAGTGGCACTGGCTGAAATGAAGTCTTGAATACTTAGCAGTTCATACATGTTTTGAGTGAGAGAGAAAAATCAAAGTTGACCAAAGTTGATAACTGAGTTACTAGGAAAATGAAAGTCATCAGCAGAAATGAAATGAGGATAAAAAAAACATTTTTGAGGGAAGATTTATGTTTGGTGTTTCCAGGCAGTTGTACTATGAACTTACCAGCAGTCGATATGCTTAATGGCAAAGGCTTTATTTTTCTGTATTATTTTTCCTGGATGTGTTAACATTTCAGAGGTAACTGGTTACACTGACCAAATCTGAAATAATTTTTGGTTATTTGTATTTGCTGAAATTTCTACAAACTAATATAGTTCAGATTACATAGTTATGAGAATACATTTTTGATGTCATATCATATTAAACTTATCAACAAAGTTATTTTCAGCTAGTTGTCTTTGCCCTGTTTTACTTATCTATTGCTACATAATATACTACCCAAAACTTGGTAACTTGAAACAACTGTGTAATTATCTCTTGTGACTCTGTGCATTAACTGGGTTTAGCTAGGTGGTGGTTTCTACTCCCTGTCATTTCAACTGGGGCTTCAAGTCATCTAGGAGCGTAATTGGGCCGGAAATCAAGAGGTCTCACTTACATGGCTCCGTGATGACTTTGGCTGGGAGCTCAGCTAGATCTCATAATTGGAGTGACTTGGTTTTCCTTCACATGACCGGTCACATCAGCATGGCTGGGTTCCAAGAAGGAGAGTCTCAAGAGCCTATATTCCATGAGGAAGGAGGCAGACACTTCCAGTTCTCCTAAGGCCCAGGCTCAGAGCTTCCAGAAAGCTGCTTCTGCCATATTCTGTTGATCAGAGCTGTCACAGGTACAGCTAGGATTCACGCAGAGGGAAAATAAGCCCCACTCCCTGATGTGAGGATGGCATGTACACACAGGGAGGGGTGACACCAGGTGTTGGAAGCTGTCTTTGGAGACCATTTACCACATCCCCCAGAAGCTCTAAACATATTAGTTCAACAAATACTTATTGGAACATTCACTTTGTATCAGATATTACTCTAGTAGACCCAGTAGTAAACTAGGTCAGTCATGCTCCTGCTCTCACGAAGGTTGGGTTTCCTTGGGGAGACAGTTAATAAGTAAACATAATTTCAGGTAATGATAAGTGCTTAAGAAAATTAAGTATGGATGAAGATACCATTAAACAAGGTGGGAAATGCTGATGACTTAGCAAATGTTTACTTGAGCTAGAGCTAATATGAATTCTCAACCAGAAATTTGCAAGTAACTCATGCCTTAATCAGTTTCCACATATACATTAGCACAGGATATAGCACAGTACTGTCCAGTAGAACTTTCTGCAGTGATGGAGATGTTGGCACTGCCCAGTGTGGTAGCACTAGCCACGTGTAACTTGAGCACTTGATACGTAGCTAGTGCAACTGAGGGACTGAATTTTTCTATTTATTTTAAATTAATTTAAATAGTCATGTTTGGCTAATGGCTATTGTATTGGACAGCTCAGGTCTAGCATGTACAAGCTGCTAAACATTCTTGTCCTGTCCTAGACCTGTCTACTTTCTTGACCTACTAGAAGTTAGTTTAATTTCAAATAGTAATCATGTTGCAGCTAGGTATAATGAAAAAATGCATGGAATATAGAATCAGACAAATTTTGGTTTGAATACCAGCTCTTCTAGTTTTGTATCCTTGGACAAGTTGTTTAATTAGATTTTTCCTCATAGTATTTTTGAAAGAGATTAATGTATGCAGAACACTTAACAGTCTTCTCTTTTGAAAACTTTGATTTAAAAAGGAGAAAACATGAAAGTGTATTTGTGACTAATTATAAAAATTGCATACAGCTAAAGACTAACAATGGCATCACAGGAATAAGAAAATAGTTTTTAAGATGGAGTTGTTTTTTCTAATTTTCTCCTGTTTTGTACTTTGAAAAATAAAAATTAGATTTAAACTGAAATGGTCTTTATCATTTTTTTCTTTATAGTGTTCATAGTAATGTTTTTATATTACTGATAACTTCAGCTGCCATATCTAATTTTTAATGTGACTGACTACAGCTAATTTTTTTGTTTACCTTTTTATCTATATTTGCTTTCTGATTATTTTTATTTTTATTCATTTTACTTCTGGATTTTTTTCACTACTTTTTTCTTTGCATGTTTTCTTTTTAAATTCTTTATTCTGTAAGAATTATGAGGCTTCATTACTTCATTCTTAATATTCTCCATACTGATGTGTACTTTTTTTTTTATCTTTTTAAAATCTCATGCCATTAATTCCTATTTAAGGCTAAACCATATTTATTAAAAAGGTTCGTTTTTAATTTGCATTTAAATGTTCAGTTTGGAATTCGGGAAATTCTCATCTCATAAACCTGATTCCAGCTTTCTTTGACACTCGAATACTAACTTTGCACAATAAGTGTCTGGATGTCAGCTCTCTCTGTTTCCTCACCTGCCAGTTTCTCCTGTTGTCATCGTCTGTGGATTCCAATATTGTGTTCCTTAATTGCTTTTCTGCTTGAAATGTTCTAGATAATCCAGAGTTTTGTTTCAGAATTTGAGAGTAAATGAGCAATGTTTTACTCTACCATTTTACTGTGGGCAGTCAACGTGGAACTTCTTGCATCAAAGAATTGTACAGGCTGAATAAGTTGAAGAAGTGTTCAGTTAAATTCTTGGATATCACCAATGAACTGATATAAAAACTGTATCTCCAGTCATGAACTCCCTTGAATTATTTTCTTGGATTTTTAGCTGCTTATTGAATATTCCTATTTAGATATTCTTCCTCTCTTCCTGATAATGCCATTGGACTTAAAATATATGAAGTCCTGTTTGATACATGATGTCAGAATTCTCCCAGTCACCTGGGCTCAAATTTGTGAAGTTGTCTTTGCTACCTCCCATAACTATGTAGGTAATCATTAGTACCTAGTGATTCATTCTTTATAGGCTCAGTTTAATCCTACTTGTCACCACCTTCCTTCAGGCACTTAAAACCTCATACCTGGATGATTGTGTTTTGCTGCCACCAGATAAATATTTTTTAATCAGTACTTTTATATCATTGTCTGTACTCAAAAACTTTCAGTGAGTCCCCATTGCCTACAGGAAAAGTTTAAACGACTTACATGATATCTTTTCCTTAATAAGATAGAGTGTATGAGAGTATTTTGAAAACCTCTGAAAGCTCATTCAATTTTTAAATAATTATGGGCCTCTTAATCACTTTAGTCAGCTTTATTTTCATATATCCTTAGAGGAACCTTCTACTTTAAGACAGATAAATGCTCCATTCCCTAACCAGATATTGACTATTTTAATCTCTGGTTGATTCAACTTAATATTAAATAAGAATTCTTCATTTAGGTGTGTATTTATAGAATATCTAAGATATATTTTCCTCAATTTCAGTTGTTTGTTTTTCAAAACTGAGTTTAAAGCTATCCCTTCTGTAAAGCTCCCTTGATCACCCTAGCCAACAATGAATTTTTCCTTTCCATCAGAAATGTACTCATTTTTATCCTCCCCTCACTATATGTGTAAGAATATATATATAAAAATATATAACCTATAGACAATTTAATGAATAATTTCGCTTTTTGCCAATTTTATTGAGATATAATTCACATAACAGCTCTCTATAAATTTAAGGTATACCATATAATGACGACATACATATATTGTGAAATGATTACCACAGTATATTTAGTTAACTTCCATCTCACATTGTTACAAAAAAAAAGGAATAATTTAAAAGTTAATCAGAACTCAAGAATTGGAGCATTACCAGTACCCCAGAAGCTCACCACATGCTCCTCCCCAGTCAAACCTCTTTCCTTCCTAGAGATCCTAACTATCCTTTGTGATCATCATATTCTTGTCTTTCTTTGTAGTCTTGCCATTTGTATATGCATCCCTAAACAATAGTATATTTCCTGTTTCTAAAGTTTAAGTTGAATGGACTTAAAACCTTTTGACTTATTTCAGCTTTTTTGATATTAAGTATAGCTGAAGTTCATTGATTTTCATTGCCGTACAGCATTTTATTAATCAATTTTCTTCCAATGAACTTTTAGGTTGTTTATAGTTTAGGGCCATTACAAATGTAGATACTAGAAACATTCCTGTATGTGTATCCTTCGTACATATGCACAAGTTTTTCTAGGTTATATCCCTAGTAATTGAATCATTGGATCACAGGATATGCATAAAGTCAGTTATACTGGATAAAGCCAGTTATTCAAAAGATTGACCCAATTTAGACTTCCATGTATAGCACGTGACACATCCTTCCCAATACTTAGAATTGTCAAACTTAAAATTTTGCCATTTTGGTAAGTGTGTAGTGGTATTTCATTGTGGTTCAAATTTGTATTTCTCTTGCTTTCTGTTTATAGGTTTATTAGCCATTTGTAGTTCTTTTGTTATTTACCAACTATCTTTTCTCTATTTTTGTATGAGAAGCTTTTACTTAAAACATATCTATATAATCCTTTTACTTAATTATATGTTAGCCTTTCACCAGCACCAGCCTGGCCTTAATATTGTAGCCGATTGATTCAAAGTCAGTCCGTGACAGGAGGAAATTTTGGTCCTCACACTGATACCGCCTCTTATAAAAAGAAATTTATCAACAAGCAAAGCTTTTGCTCAATCAACATTAATTTGGTAGCAAAGGGTATCAGTCAGTAGACAAGTATTTCTTAATTCCTCCACTCATGGTCTTATGTTTTAGAGTCAGTATTAAGAGCTACATTTATCCGATCCTATTTTATGCCAAGGCAACACTGAACAATCATAGACAGAAATTAGCGAAAAAGTATTGAGTCAGCCAGTAGTTGATAAGCATGTAATCTTTGGAGTCAGACTTTGATTTCAGTTCTGACTTTTTTTTTTTCGAAATTTACATTTAAGCTATCTGAAATTCAGTTGTGTCACCTGCGAAATGGAAATAATAGACTATAATGTTATGATGATTCAGTGTGGCATTTAATACATGGAAACTGCATAGCACATCACCTGGCTGGTGTCCATCATCAACAGTGATGAAATCTAAAACCACCTATCACCCAGTATTTATACTAGGATAGGGTTGCAAGTCGAGGACTGTTGGTGAGGAAAGAAATTGGAATGGTTCCCATGTGTGCCTCAATCAGACATGAAGATGATGTATAACTCAACTTCCATTTTAAGACTTTTGGGTTGCAGAATGGGGGAAGGGAAGGCATGGAAATGGGATGACAGGGAAGTGAGGCAGGAGATGGTCCAGAGCATTTGGAGTTCTCTTAAGTGCAGGAGCAAAATGAAAGGAAAACCAATACTGCCACATCTTCTACTTCCATTACACATCTGGTGAAGGTTTTTGTTTTTGTTTCTTTCCTTATGACAGTGTTGTTTTTTAACTCTGTTTATATCCTGTTCTTTCTCCATTTTTGTTTGATTATTGCTCCCCTAGCAATATTAAAATGAAGGTATTTTCTTTTATTATAATTGGCAAAAGTTGAATGTGAGACCAGTAAAACTCAATAAATATCTGCGTTCGAGGCAATATTATTACTGATGTTTTATACTGTTTCGTTTATAGCTTCTAGATTTTCAGTGGAAACTGGGTATGGCTGTGAGCTCGGACAGTTGCAGATCACTTAAGTATCCTTATGTTGCAGTGATGCTGAAAGTGGCAGATCATTCCGGCCAAGTAAAGAACAAGTGTTTTGAAATGACAATTCCACAGTTTCAGGTTTGTGATTTAACTCATTCAGTTTAACTCATCGTTCTGTAATTGCTGCTTAAGAAGATGTATAAAATCTTTCTTAAGGGAGAATTTTAATTGTTTTTATTTGCAGTTATTTTGATGTGTTTTACATTTATTAGTACAAAAGATCTGAATTTGTTTTCTTAGGGAATTTGATCAAGTTGTTTTTAATATTTTCAGTGTAATATGCTGAATTTGTATACTGTCACATTTGATCATTTTCACAGTACTCTAGTATATTTCAGGAATTTTCATCTTCTGTGACAAGATATTTACTTTACATTGAACTGTTTTATCTTATTCTTAGGCTTAATATTTAAGAATAATAAGCTAAATGAATCTTATTTTGCATAGTGTTGACCCTGAATTTTCTGACTACAAAATATAGGTTGAACACTAATACTTGATGACTAGTTCTGTCAGTTAGAGATATGAGTAACTTAATGGTTTATATTTAGAGTCATGTTATTCATATTATCCTTCTACTTCTTTTCTGTAAGGAAGGAAGAAACGGGGGGTGGGTGAGAAATTAGACTTTTGAAAAAATGTACATACAGGGAAATGTTTTGTCAGTGACTAATTTAACTGGCTTTTGAGTTTGTTTTTGTTTGTTTTGTTTTCTTTGGTGAGTGACTAGATAAGAATCTTCCTTCATAGCAGTTATTACTCTAAGAAAAGCCTCTTACAGACCACTTTAGGATGCTTTCGACCTCTTTTACAAGCTATGCCCTCCCACCCCCAGCTATATTGAAGTAGAATTGACAATAAAAATCATATATATTTAATGTATACAAGATGATGATTTTTGTATATGTATACATTGTGAAATGATTACTGCAATCAAGCTAATTAACATATTCGTCATCTCACATAATTAACTATTTTGTGTACCTGTGTGGTGAGAGCAGTTGAGATCTTTCCTAGCAGATTTCAAATATATTAATAATAATACATTATTACTAACTGTATTCACTATACTGTTAGGTCTCCAGAACTAACTCATCTTATAACTGAAAGTTTATACCTTTGACCATCATCTCCTTATTTCCCTACCCCACAACCCTGGTGACCACTGTATACTCCTGTTACTGTGAGTTCCACCTTATTAGATTGCACCTATCAGTGAGATCATACAGTATTTGTCTTCCTGTGTCTGGCTTATTTCACTTATATATGTCTGTATGTATATGTGTACACCACATACTACACCACATTTTCTTTACCCATCTGTCACCAGACACTTTGGTTGTTTCCATACCTCGGCTATCGTAAATAGTGCTTCAATGAACATGGGAGTGCAGATATCTCTTTGAGATAGTGATTTTATTTTATTTTTTTGGATATGTACCCAAAAATGAGGTTGCTGGATCATATGGAAATTCTGTTTTACAAATTACATTTTAAAGGGTTTTTTTCCCTTTCAGTTCTTTAAAACAGGTATCGCTGCCTTAGAACAAAAAATAATGGTCACAGATTCAACATTATTAATGCTTATTAGTGTTTTGGAAGGAAGTAGGACTTGGTTAAAAGGAAATAAATGTAGTATACTGTAATATGTGAGTAGCCTTCAGCCGAATATAAGGACCAAATAATTTCAAAAGAGAATATAGGTTTCAATACTTTTTGTAATTTATAATCCTGTCATAATTATTTTCCTGTGCAGCATTCATGCTCTCTGATTCTCTCTTTAGAATTTTTTTTTTTCCATTGGAAAAATTAGAAAGGGGGGCATCTCTTTTAAAGGTAGTTTTTATATGGCTTAAAAGCTAACCAGACAAACAGAACCTGTTGGTCACATTACAGGACTGAGAGCTAAGGTACATTCTTTGAGCTGTTAATTTATATATTTCTTGTAGCTGAAATTTTGTCCATCAGTATATATTTTTAAAGAAATAGTGACATACTGTTTTATTCCATAATAAATTTACACATAAATTAAAACAAAATACATATGTTTTTGAGTAGCAAAATTAAGAAGTAAGACCAAAAAAGGAAGGAAAATACAAATTTGTTAATCTCTAGAGGGTAATTTAATTGCTGAGGTTAAGTTTCAAATTTGCCTCCCAGTTTCCTGGCAGGTAGAGGAAAGGGAAGGCAGAATCTGGTCCCTTCCTTATCTGAAGTTTAAAAAAAGAAGATGACTTCTACAGGAGTATCAGACAAGCTCAATTTATAAGCGAAAGAGAAATAAGCTTCTACTATTCAAGCCATTGCCAATGTTGGATCTCTCTTACTGTAATTGAACTTGTATCTTAAACAGGATAGCTCCTATCACCCTGAAATGCAGTCTTTCACGACATTTAAAGTGATTTGAGGCCTGGGAACCGAGCTGTCATTTTTGTTTTTATCTTCAGTTTCTAGGACAGTGGTGGGTATTTAATCAATCTTTCTGTTGTGATCTCAAAAGAACTTTTGTAGGTGCCTTTTGAAAAGTTTAGTCATGAGCTAATTATCCAACTCTGCAATAGTATTTTTATTTGCAGCACCAAATTGTACCTGTTAGTTTCTTAGAGTACCCTTCTTTAATAGTTGAGGGTATAACATTAAAGTGCAGTCTTAATATGTTACATATTTCAACTGTTATTGAAAGAGCTACTTGAATTACCTCTGAAAGCAAAATTAATATTATTTTCCCCCTTTCTCTCCAGAATTTCTACAGACAGTTCAAGGAAATTGCTGCCATTATTGAAACTGTGTGAAAACTGATTACTTGGTTGATAAATTGCTGTCATCATTCTAAAATCATGGACCTCACTTTTTATAACAGAGCCGAATAAGGATCAAATGATATTTATTGAATGAAAATTACACTTTTGTGTTTCATTTTTTTTTTAAATAATAAAAAAATCAGACAAACAAGAATTAGGTAGTGGAAATTGATGCACAACTTTGTGAATGTACTAAAAGACTGAATTGAACACTTTAAAGGGAGAAGTGAGTGGTATGTGAATTACATCTCAATAAAAAAAAACTCAGATAAACATTTACATGATTGAAAACATTGAAAAGGATAACATTACAAATTCAATTTTATAACATTCTTTTATTAGAAAAGCAGTCAGTGAGAACAACGAGGGTGCTTTTCTCAAACATTTGAAAGCAGGTTAGGACTGACCATTGCTCCCTCATGTTAGCCAAGCATTCAGTAGTTTCTGTTATTAATATTTATAGAAAGTTCAAATATATGCATAGAGATAGAAAGATAAGTTTTATTCTGAGTTCTATATGTAACTGAGTTAACCTCATAGTACAGGTTTCTGTGTTAGATAATCTCCCTTGAATTTAGATTTATAAACTAGTTAAAATATTCCATAAAGCCACAGCAATCAACATGTATAGCACTGCTTAGGAATAAACAAATGGATCACTGGGATAGAGTACGTGGCTTAGAAATAGATCAAGACATTTGGAACAAGGATGGTATTTCAGTTAGGTGGGACAATGTCTTATTTAATAAAGGATGATAACAGTCACAACACATGCAAAGGAAAATTCCAGATGGATTAATGGCTTAAGTAACAAAGATAAAAATGAGGTTTTAGAGGATATTTATGTTAGCCAAGGCTTGGGAAAAGCAAGCTATAATATAAAACATAAATATATTTGAAAAATAAGAATTAGCAACTTTTATGTAGAAAAAAAAAGAGCCATAAACAGACAAAAGAAGAAAGCTATCTATGTTGATATGTAAGTGAATCCTTTATCTGGAAAGCAAATTGCTTTAAATATTTCAAGTAGGAGGAGATTTTATATAAGAAATTATCTAATTTCTTGTATAAAGAAGTTAGTTCACTAAACTGTCAGAAAGACTGAGGGAACAAGTCAGGAGAAATCATTGCTGGCTTTAGAAAATCCAGTAGTGCAAGAATTTCAGGGAAAGCTACTGCCAGTCATCCCTCCACAATGCAAGACATCACCTGAAAGCCACTGTACGTGCCATTTCTGCCATCTGTCAACGTGTAATGAAATAAAGGCTGCTTGCTTCTTTACCCTCCCAGATTTTACAATGAGAGTGCCTCTCATTGGGTGGAAGTTAAACCAGGACCCTGTTGACACGAATCTGGTCAACTGAGTTTCTAGTTTTTTAGCACGTATAGAGGGGAGATTTAAAAGAGGAAGAATGGTTCTGAGTATTTTCACTCTGCTGGTAGAAATAATAGTTATTATTTAGATCATTTTGCAAAATGACAGAAATTTTACAGTCTAGGAATATATCTTTTGGAATAAAGCCAGCAATATAAAAACATTTGGCAAAGTTGGGTAAATGCTCATCCGTCCATCACCTCTGGGAACACAGGAAGACTGCATTTCCCAGCCTCCCTTGCAGTTAGGTCAGGGTCACATGATCGGGTTGTAGTCAGTAGAATCTGGGCAAAGTGTCTTAAGACACATACAGTCTTCCTCATAAATCATTCCCTGTCATCTTCCAAGCCCTCTACCAACCTTGCTGCTGGAAATGAAGGACTTAAGATAGCAAAACCATAATAAGATGGATCTTCAAAGCACTGTTGGAGGCAAATTGCAAAAGAACAGCCTGACTTGCATTGGACAGTGGTGTTAGCTAGAAACGAACTTACTGTGATAAGCTGGTGAGATTTCTGGAATGTTTGTTACAACAGAAGTGAGCATAAACCTGAATAACAAAATATATGTATGAAAATTTTTATTGTAGCATTTCCAGCAGCAGAGTAAAGGGAACACAGCAAAGAGTATCTGAATAAGGAAATGTCTGAGTAAATCTGGCCTTTCTAATGTATTGAATGTTATATAGCTTCTAAGATTTGCCTTGAGATATTATCAATACTGTACATATTGCCGTGGTTTATAAAATGGTATAAAATGCATTCATATACATTTGAATGCTTAATGGAAAAGTAAGAAAGGTATGGAGGGAAGCCTACCAGGTTGTAAGCACTGGTGGAGCTAGTATCTAGAGGGAGAGGAAGAACAGTTAAACATTTTTTGGTTGTTTAAGTCTATTATGTATTCTAAAAAATACATATTATGGTTTTGAAAATACACGATTAAAAAATACTTGTTTTTAAGTATGCTTTTCAAAGAAAAGTCTTGGTTTTTAATGGTATAATATTTTCTTTTAATTTCACAAACGTATAGTGTTTATGAAACAAAATTGTTTGTGAAGTGCCTCCACAAACCAGGATAGACAAACCTGAAATACAGCAAATGTAGGCCTCACTGTGCTTTAGAAATGGTGACTCCAGTTGGGTGTAACATTTTGGCTGGCACCAGGGCAAGAAACTTCATTTCTAGCTCTCACTTGTTTCTTCTGATAATCCACCTTGGAAATTTATGTCCTCTTCACACCCCATGAGCAAGTCTCCTATGTAAGCCCACCTTTTTTGTCCTCTGCTAGGAAGCTCACTGCTGAGAGGAGCCCAGGTCCAAGGCCCGCTGCTGCCCTCCTGTGTACTCACATCCCACCTGCTTGAAGAGTTAGCCAGTTGGTCATTTGGGCTTACCAGCTGCCACAGACAAGCCCTATTACCCACCCTCTGGATCATAGCACATTAATGATTCGAGGATTGTGAGAAGCCAAGTCCTCTTGCTATCCCTTCTTCCATCCAGTGGGGCGCCAGTTTCCTTGTATTCCCAGAAATCACAGTTGAAACCCTCTAGTTCCCAGTCTGGGTTAAAAACACGTACTTGCCTTCTCAGACTGTACATACGGTCTCTCCATCTCCCTCCCCTCTCAGTTTAATGCCATTCACTCTCCTTCCTTTCCCCATTTGCAGTGTTTAAGGTTATATACAAAGAGGTCTAAAGCAAGCCTCTGACTCAGACACTGTGGGTGATGGAACTGATTGGAATAAAATCGTATACCTATCTTTTGAATTTAAAAGGCTAATTTTTTTTTCATAATATAATTTCATACTATTTTCATTGCAATGTCTTTTTGCTTATAATTAATTTAACGAGCTTTATTGAGCTGGCCTGGGAATTAACCACTGTTTGTAATAACATTTCTGTGGGAAAATGTGTTTGAAGTTTCAAACATTTGACTCACATACAAACTTTTGGAAAGCAACTCATTTTCAAGTTGGAAAAACGATTAATGAGCTTTTAGTTTCCAAAAGGAATAGATTGTGCCCGAGCTTATCGAGCAGAACACAAGTATTCTAATATATTCTGCTGCCGAGGCAGGATAACATCATTAGAGTTATGTGGGAAGAAGGCAAAACAGTCACATTTATTTAAAGGGATTGAAACTTCCAACATACTGGTGGCTTGTTTTTAAAAGTACTTAAGCAGAATTACTTTTTTAAACAATGTGTAAAAAACAAAACAAAAAAACCCTGTATATTTTAGATTTTAAAAAATAAACTATTTTTGAGAAGCTTTAGATTTATAGAAAAAAATGAGAAGATAGTATAAAGAGTTCCCATATACCCCACACTCAGTTTCCCTTATGGCACATTTGTTACAATTGATGAACCAATATTGATACATTGGTTTGTACCTAATATCATTTTTTCTGTTTCGGGATCCCATCCAGGACATTATATTACATAGAGTCCACATTTGTTACAATTGATGAACCAATATTGATACATTGGTTTGTACCTAATATCATTTTTTTCTGTTTCGGGATCCCATCCAGGACATTATATTACATAGAGTCATCATGTCTTCTTAAGCTCCTCTTATCTCTGACAGTTTCGAAAGACTTTCCTTGCTTTCGTTGACCTTGACAGTTTTGAGGAGTACTGGTCAGGTATATTGTAGGATGTGCCTCAGTTGGGATTTGTCTGATGTTTTTCTGGACTGGAGTGATAGGTATTTGGGAGGAAGGTCACAGAGATAAAATGCTATTTTCTTCACATCCTATCAAGGGTGTATACCAGCAACATGATTTGTGACTTGATGTTGATCTGGGTAACCTTGACGAAGTATTGTTTGTTAGGTTTCTCCACTGTAAAGTTGTTCTTTTTTCCCTTCTTTCCATACTTTATTCTTTGGAAGGAATGCAGCCCATACTTGAGAAATGTGGAGTTATGCTCCCCTCCCCATTTTTTCGATGAAGTACTAGATATTTTATTTGGAATTCTGTGAGACATTTGTTTCTTCTCCCATGATTATTAATTTATTCATTTATTTATATCAGTATGAACTCATGGATATTTATTTTATACTTGGGGTAATAACTGAATACTTTTTTGTTGCTCAAATCATTCCAATTTTGACCTTTGGAAGCTGTTTCGTTTAGATCCCGTGCCTCTTTGACATTGCCTCCCACCCCTCCGTCACTCCCTTTTTAAGGACTTCCCTACTGTTATTGACACTACAAGGTACTCCAGGCTCATTTGTTTATTTGCTGCCCCAGTCCTAGAGTCAGCCGTTTTTTTCCAGGGGCCCTTGTTCTTTTTAGTGTACACTGCTGTTAGAAACCAAAACGTGGGTGCTGGGTCTGCTGCATATTTTAGATTTTGGTATTATTAAAATTTAGAAGTCTGATGTACAGTATGGTGACTATAGTTAACGATAATGTATTGTATATTTGAAAGTTACTAAGAGAGTAGATCTTATTCTCATCACAAGGAAAAAAATATAATTATGTGAGGTGATAGATGTTAACTAAACATTCTGGTAATCATTTCACAATAGATACGTATATCAAATCATATACACCTTAAACTAATACAATGATATATGTCAATTATATTCCAATAAAACTGGGGGGGGGGGGGTGTGGATTTGGAAGTCTGAAAAGAAAAGTTCTGCTGCTGACATAAGTCAGACCACAAAATCTGGCTCACGTTTTTGAGCCAGATTGGTGAGAAAGATAACCTGAACAATAGATCATGTGATTATCGGTTTGGTTTGCGATTGAACCAGCTGACAAACAGCAAAATAATATATATGCGATCATGAATGCAAGAATGTGACTGTATCTTCCTGGTAAGGTGGGTTAAATAAAATAGTTGATATGGTGGCTCTCCTCTGGAAGTCATCAAGGGCTTCAGACTCCTATGTAGCTGACCAGCCATCTTCAACATGTGGCTTCCATTTTGTGAAAAACACGGCTGCTCCATTTTCTAGCATCATGTCTACATACCAGCCAGCAGAAGGGAGAGAGGGAAAGGTAAGCAAAAACCATATAAACTCATGTTCCATGTAAACACACCTCACTCTACTCACATCCCATTGGCCAGAACCTATTCATGTGGCCACACTGCAAAGGAGACTGGAAAATGTATGTAGCTGTATGCCCAGTTAAAAGTTCTATTGCTATGCTACAGCACTGTAACCAAAATCATAACCAATTACAATTGCAATCAATTGTTATAGATTTCTTGAATTACAATGCTTAGTTAGGGAATCCCTAAATTTTCATTAGTAATGCATTTATAAGCCATTTCTTATATTGGGGTGCAAACTATTAATACTCCCATTAAGTGATTCATTTAAAAGTAGATTAGGAGATTGTGTTGGATGTCCTCAAGACCACCCTTAGTTTTGGTAATTCATTAGGAAAACTCTCAGGACTCAGCTTGTAGTCATATTCGTGGCTTATTTATTACAGTGAAAGGATGTAAAGCAAAACCAGCAAAGAGAAAAGACACATGGGGTGAAAGTCTGGGGTAAACCAGGCTTCCGAGATTCTAAACTTCCTCTGACAGTGGAGTCACACAAGATGTGCTTAATTTCTTAAGCAACAAGTTGTGATAAATTGTGGGAAATATCGCCTGCCAGGGAACCTCATTAGAGACTCAAAATCCAGGGTTTCACCAGTTGCTGATCATATAGGCACCCCTTACCTGGCACATACCCAAGTTTCAGGTTCCGAGAAGGAATGTGAGTTGTGTGGGGGTGGGGGGGGTGGTTTGCAGAAATTATATTGTTTGTACAAATGCTTTAAACACAGTGAGCCGCTCATATCAGTTCATGGTGGGAAAGCTCCTGAAATCCAAGTTCCCAGATGCCAGCCAAAGGCCAACTTTGTAAGCAGGTCTTTTTAAATATAAGTAGTCAGGACTA